AGAGGCAAAAGACAATCCCTGTCCTCAAGGAGCTCACAGTCAAAAGGGAGAGTCAATATACAAAGAGATATACAAAAAGCTATATACAAGATGAGTAGGAAATAACTAAGAAGAGGAAGTCATTATAACCAAGAGGTATTGGGGAAATCTTCCTGTGAAAGATGTGATTTTAGTTGGGAATTAAAGGAATCCATATTTGCACTGAGTTGTGTTCACTGTGAGAAGCACTCCATTTCTGACTATCTGATGAGGTGGCTCCATCTGCCTGCAGCAATCAAACACAGATATGCATGCTTGGTTTGATACGACCCTTCCATTTCATCTTCCCACCATCCTTGTTCATCTTTCCTACACAAGACTTACAGAATTTCCTGAACTCAGTCTTTATCTAGTATTGTTTAGTAGCTCATCGTAGATCCCATTTTAGTCCCATTTAGAATGTGGCCAATCAGACCTTCCTTTATCATCTCCCCTGTCACTCAAGATCATACACAGATTCCATGAACATCTTTGTCATCCATGACTGAAGTTTAAGGCTTCCTGCAGGGACAAGTCACAAGGGTTACCCTGCCCCAGATCCAGATAGACATGTTTTCCCCTTCACTATCCAAAGTGCATCTCTTTGCTCTTTCTCAGAATCCTCTGGACTCCAAAGGCAAACAGGACTCAACTCTATCTGTACTAGTTTTATCATGACCTAGCTCCTCCTCTTTCCCACTACTTACTGTATCTCCCACAAAGAGTCATTAGCTGTCCTCTGCCAGCTTCCTTTAGTAGTAGGTGCTTGTCCTTTGTATTGCTTATATTTATTTCCCTCATACCTGAGTTCCTAAAATATGATTAAGTCTTTACTGCTAGATGCTTTTTTTTTAAATTCTTTCCCCACCCATACCTAATACCCCTGTCCCACTTCACACTATCTCCCCTGGGAGACACACCCAGTCCCTTCTGCATTTTCAGTGGAACCGCAGAGCCTCCTAGTGGCCAGTGGGGTAAAGTCACCTAGTGTTTGTTTCTTGCTCTGTTCTGGCTTTGTCTCCAGGGACAGAACACCTTTTGGCAGTACTTTGACTTGCCTGGATGCTTTTGTGCCAGTCTCTCCTCCCTGGCCATCTGAGCTAAGCCTCAGAATGCCTTATTAGTTTTGTTGAACTCTCCCATCACTACTCACATACCCCTTCTTCCCCCACAGTCACCTCTGGCTCAGCTGCTCATCTTCTAGCCTCCTTCAAACCAAAAATCTGCCCCTCCCCAACATACTCCTTTTATGAGTTCACACCTTCTCTTCCTTTTTTAATTTTCTTCCCCTTCCATGAATGATAACTGGCACATCTTGACCTCTCAGTAGTCAGTAAAGTGAGAAACTGTCACTAAATTATTCCCCAAGTCAGTTGTGTAGGGTGAGACTCTCACAGACAGCTGAACGCAGCCCAGCCTCCCAGGCCAGCAGGGTGATTGTCCTGAAGAGGGCAAAGAGGGCAGCTTCTTACAAATTTCTAAGTAAGCTACACCTCCCCCTACTCCCACCCATCCTGTACAAACAGTTTGAATGAAAGGGAGTAAAATCAAATTTGCAAGCACAGAGCAAAAACAATTGAGAGGCAAGGGCCTCTCAACTCTGAGCAATAAGGGGCAAGTAGAATAATTTGGGTTCCAAGTCTATGGCAGGACTATCCCAAGTAAGTGGTCATTATGTCCTTCGCTTTCATTGTGTTTCCCCTGATCATTGGGTTTGGCAATACAGACAAAAAGCGCTGAGTCTGGTGTTTCAGAAGGAAGAGTGGACAAGCAGGGAAATTTAGGAAGTAACATGTGGAAGATAGATAGGTAGCTAGATAGACACATAGATAGATATATAGATAGATATTATATATACATGGTGTATGTGTGTATATATATGTGTATACATATATATATATACATACTCATATACATATATATGTGCATTCACTGTGAAAAGAATGCATTATTGTATCATTTGGAAAAATTATTATTCCATTTAAATCTAACCTTATGTGAGTGTACCCCCAAAGTCACCTCACCTTGGTAACTGTATATGAATGCCAGAGATGGCTACAAGGAATTTCTTCCAGGTCCTGGATCCACCCAAAGAATCCTTGTTTTGGGTTCACTTCATGTGATGTATATGTAATACCCTTGTCAGATGGTTCATATGGGGGTCAACCTGATGTTGGGGGAAGGAGAAAGCCACCCCTTATTTCTGGCTTTTTCTCTCTACCAATGACTTAATAAATTTCTTTCTAAAATTATTTCAGGTTTGGGGGCTTGTTCTGCAGAACAACATTACATGTATACATATACACATACACATATGTCAACTGGTATGAACTGGAATTTCACAGTTTCAGTTACAATTATCTTTTTGTGTTCTGTTGTGCACACAGAAAATTTATAATTTTTTTATGTTTAAGTTCAGAGCAAAAAAATTTAATTTTTTAGAAGAAAAAAAATTGGATTGGGAATAAAAACATCTGGGTTCTAACCTTGGCATTGCCATTAAGTGGCAGTGACATTTTGAGCAAGCCACTTTCCCCCTTTAGCCTACAAGTTCCCTCATCTGTGAGACATGATTCATCTAAAATTATTCCCTCTGGTATTGCCAGTTATTTCTGAATTGGCAAACCTAATGGCCTTTTCTCAATTCTCATCCTCCTTAACCTCTCTGCGACCTTTGACACTATCAGTCACCTTTGTCTCCAAAATATTCTTTTATCTATAGGATTTTAAGACATTGTTCTCTCTTTTCTTCTGCTGCCTGTCTGACTGATCTAGCACAGTCTCTTAGTATAGGTTGTTTCCAATAACTAACTGTAGGTGCCCTCTTTTCTTCTCCCTCTATGCTACTTGATTGGCATCTCATCAGTTCCCTTCAGCTCAATTATCTCCTCTATGGAGACAATGCCCAGATACCTGTATCTGGCCCTGGTCTCTCTCCTGAGCTCCAATCTCATACCAACTGCCTTTTGTATTTCTCAAATTGTATGGTCTATAGGTATATCAAACACCATGTCAAAAACACAATTATCTTTATTTTAAAACTTCCTTCTCTTCTGAACTTCCCTCTTATTGTCAAGGGCATCATGATCATCATCATCATCTAAGATTACCTTCCAATCATATTATAGCTGATAGATGAATAAGAAACAGATGATAGATAGCTAGGTTCCTAGATTGACAGACAGACGGATACAGATGGGTAGACATGCAAGATAGATTTAGATAGATAAGTTGACAAGATAGATATAGATGGATAGATAGATAGACAAACAGACATATAGATATACAGGGATACAGAGACAAAAAGACAGAGAGAGAGGGACAGAGGGAGAGAGAAAAAGAGGGGGGGAGAGAGAGAGAGAGAGAGAGAGAGAGAGAGAGAGAGAGAGAGAGAGAGAAGGAGACAGAGACAGAGAGACAGAGAGAGAAACTTCGTATGCAGTTAATTGCACTTATCTCCCATTTAGAATGGGAACTACTTTAGGGCAGAGACTCTGTTTTTGCATTTGTATCTGCAGTATTTCTCGCTATGCCTGGTACATAGCAGCAGTTTAATAAAAGCTTAATGATTGACTAAGTTGAATTAGATGATCACTTCCTAGCTCTAAACTTCCATGATGCTAGGTTGTCATAATTTTTAGGACAAAGCTGGCACATTGAGGACAGTAAAATACATAGTAATCATGTACACACAGTCACTTACCTTAAAGCTACTTATTAGAATTTAGCTTAAAAATAATTCTCCTACTTGATATTGTTCATTAAATGCTACACTGGTCTTGCAGAAGTTAATGGGGTGGAACAAGAAGATCAAAGAGCAGTGGTGCAAAATGTCTCCAGTGTTCTAGGCATGCCTGTAACTGTGCTTCAAGCGTCAGACTTCCTTCTTAACACCATCTTTCCCAAAGTCCCTTCAGAGAACTCTGAATTTCAAAAGAAGTACAGCTCCTTCTAGTGGCCAATAGGGTAAATTTGTCCTCCAGTCTTCCAATCTTTCGCAAAGCAAAGCTGAACATTAAAGGAACCAGCTAGTTAAGGGCCAGGGACATATGAAGCACCAGCTAAAGGAACCAACAGGAATGGACAGAATTGACTGTCATCTATTGTAATGAAGGGTGCAAGCTTACATTTTACTTTCTATATGTGAATTCATTCCTTAACTCATTCCACAAACATTTATAAGAAGCCCATAGTCAAGTGTTTTTCTAGATGATGAAGAAAATAAAAGGATGAGTTATCTACTATATGGAAGAAGCTTAACGTCTGGTTGGGGAGATAAGACATGTACACAAATAAGTCAGAATAGAAATATTGAGTGCTATAATGCATCTGAGTAGCATAGCACTCTGGTATAGGAAGAAAAAAAAGCTTGACTCAGAGTCAGGAAGGCTGGGTCCTGTTTCTGATATACATACATAAATGTATATATACATATATACACACTTTTACATATGGGTGTATATGTATATGTATGTGTGTGTGTATGCATGTTTCTGTATAATGAACAATGCTGTCATGCTTCCCTGTCACTGCTGAGGGAAACAAGGCTGTGTGTTTGCTCCCAGGCTTTTTAGCATAATGTTCCCAGCAATGTTGTCAGATGTCTTCAATGAGAACAAACTTGGCAACAAGGTCAGGTACCACACTGACGGTAAATTATTTAACTTCAAAAGGCTACAAGCCAGGACTAAACTAAAGAGAGAGTTGGTACATGATTCCTTTGTTCCCAGATGATTGTGCTCTCAATGTCACCTCTGAAACTGAGATGCAACAAATATGGATCATTTCTCTGCTGCTTGTACTAATTTTGGCCTCACAATTAATACCAAAAGAACACAGGTGCTCCATCAGCCAGCACCACTTCATCCATACATGGAACCACCAGCAAATGGAGAAGTTCTGAATACTGTGGATAAGTTCACTTACCTTTGCAGTATACTTTCCAGGGATGTACACATTGATGGTGAGGTTGACCCATACATTGCCAGAGCTAGCTCAATATTTGGGAGGCCTGAAGGAAAGTATGTAAGAGATGAGGTGTTAAACTAACTACCAAACTCTACAGAGCTATTGTACTGACCTCATTGTTGTATGCCTATGAAACCTGGGCAATATACCAGAGCCATGCCAGCAAACTGAATCACCTGCATTTGGATTGTCTTAGGAAGATTCTGAAGATCACCTGGCAAGATAAGGTACCAGACATGGAGGTTCTTTCTCTAGCTAAAGGGCCAAGCATTCAAACTCCACTGCAGAGAATGCAACTCCAATGAGCTGGCCATGGTGTTCGAATGCCAAACAAACACTTGCCTAAAAGCTATTTTAGTCCTTAGAATCTTTAGAGAACTCATACAAGGAAGGCTCTCACATGGTGGTCAGAAGAAGCGATACAAAGGCACTCTCAAGGTCACTCTAAAGAACTTTGGAATTGATTGTGTGCCATAGGAGATGCTGGCAAAAAACCACCACCCTGTGTGGTGTACCCTCATCAAAGAAGGTGCTACATTTTATGAGCAAAGCCAAACTGAAGCAGCTCAAAAGAAATGTGAGATACACAAAGATGGAAAATCCACCCCAAACGTTCACATGAACTATCTGCGGCCAGCCTGTGGTAGAGCATTCTGAGCTCGTATGGGTCTGATCAGGCATAGTCAGACACACTGTAACTTGTCCAGCATAGAGATGTCATTTTGGTCCTCTTCTAGAACAAAGGACAGCAACCAACCAACCATAGTATGTGTGAGTGTGTGTGTGTGTGTGTATGTGTGCATATATGTGTGTGTGTACGTATGTATGTATGTATGTATGTATGTATGTATGTATGTATATTTTTATTATCATTCTGTAGTATCTGACTCTTTATCATCCCATTAGGGGTTTTCTTGGCAAAGATAGTAGAATGGTTTGCCATTTCCGTCTCCAGATCTTTTTATATATGAGGAAATTGAGGCAAACAGGGTTCAGTGAATTGCACAAGGTCACATAATCAGTAAATGTATAAGGCTGGATTTGAATTTGGGTTTTCCTGATTCCAGGCCCAGTCCTCTACCCACTGCTCCACCTAGATGTGTGTGTGTGTATGAGTGTATATAGTATATGTTTATCTAAGCATATATATGTGTGCGTATGTATGTAAATATGTATGTGTATATCTGTATATACTGTGTATATATAAACTGTGTGTGTGTGTGTGTGTGTGTGTGTATACATGCTCAACATTCTAGAATTTCAAATTCCCAGTTATTAATGGACTGGCCATGATAAATAAATGTGAATTTTTGGAAATGTGCAGCACACTAAAAAAAAAAACTAAAAAAAGTAACAAGTTATAAATGCATAGATACTGTATATTACTCATCTATTTTATCATTTACTACAATAAATCTACATTAAAATACATGCATTTATTATGAAGAGTTAAATTTTCTTAAAAATATCAATGCACTGCAGAACTGTGGGTTACTTACTCTCTTTGGAAATATCTCTTTGTCTCTCTACCATCCAGATTCAATCATGTGATTTTCTCCATCAGTGATGGCTGTACCTTGTCTTTTCTTTTTTTTTTTCTTTTTTTTTTTTTTTTGCTTTTAGGCAATTAGGGTTAAGTGACTCACCCAGAGTCACACAGCTAGTAAGTGTCAAGTGTTTGGTCTGAGGCCAGATTTGAACTCAGGACCTCATGACTTCAGGGCCAGTGCTCTATCCACTGTGCCACCTAGCTGCCCCTACCTTGTCCTTTTCAAAGAAGAAGAAAATACATGAAAAAATTACTATAACTATACCTAAGACTTCCAAGACTCCATATGCTGTGCAACATACTAATATCATGTAGGAATTACAACTTTTTAAGGGTGCCCTGGGATTTTTTTTGTGTGTTAAATAAATATGATCAGAATTATCAAAAATATCCATGATTTTCACATTCACAGGGTTCCTGTATCCCTAACCATGGTGAATGTCAAGGGATTGCTCTGTGTGTGTGTGTTGTGTGTGTGTGTGTGTGTGTGTGTGTGTGTGTGTGTATGTGTGTAGGCTGACTCTGCAAAAAATCACTTCACTTCTTCCAGGCAACTCTCTCAATACCATAAGTTGCAATTTGCATAGTTTAAGAAAGTCCCCACCAGTATCTCCCTGCATCAATGAAATCATAGGTCTAGTTTTTTAAAGTATGCATTATTATTATTCAACAAATAATTACTAAACACATGCTATGTACCTGTACTGTTATTAATGTTGTCAGTCTGTATTACGATGATGAATAAGATGGGTGATGGAGTCAAAGTGTTGGCCAAGGCACCATTAATAACTCACCTTGGAATCCACAATGGACAAGGATTGAAAACAAGCTAGAAGGAGTTTCATAGATGGAACAAATTGCAAAAGGTTCATCACTTAAAAGTCTCAGTAGCAATAAAGAACTTGTTTAGTGAGTGATAGGGTTGAAGGAAAGCTGGAAAGTAAGGGTGCTATGTTTAGACAGGGTGGTGAGGGGAGAGAGTTGAAACACTGAAAATGAAGCAGTGTCCTGTAACATAGCCCAGTATAGGATCTTCTTGAAGCACACCTAAGGTGGAGTAGAGACAAAGGTCTATAAAGTCAGCAAAATAAGCAACCCAAGGAGCAATGAGATTAAGTCATCAAGTCAGTTACCAATGACAAAGTTGGAGCCAGTGAGGACGATGGTAGGAGACAGGCTGTAGAGAAATAATATGATTCTGGTGTTAAAGTCATCTAGGAAGATAAAATCTAGGATGATAGGGTCAATGGCAGGAGGGAGCAAGGAAGAGCTTTAGGCATTTTAAAAGAATATACAGAGAAAGAACCTAAGATTCAAGTGAGGAGGACCAGGGAGAGAATCCAGAACTTACGTTAGAGTATCATAAATAGGCCCACTTCCTGTCTTTTTTCACAGAGTCAAGGGGAGACGGAGAAGGTAAAACTTCCAAAGGAATAGCCAAAGAGATGTGTTGTCGTCATCATAGAGCCAAATTTCAGTTAAGGTAAGGAAGTGAAGGTAGAAAGAAAATAAGAGAAATTGGACTAAGATATAGGGCAGTTTGCCCACAAAATATAACAAAATAAAAAATGTAGTATGCCACAAAGAGCAGTATAAAGAAGCAGTAGCAGAAAGATGATGATATCACAGGAAGCACATGTGTGGGATGGGAATGGGTGAGAGGACCTTTGTAAGGGTTCAGAGACAGGGAGTCAGTATGAAAGGTTTCAGCTTTAAGCAGTGGGATCAGACAATTGCATGTTGTTGGAAGTATTAGCATAGGAGGCAGAAGAGAGCCATGTGTTTGAGAAAAACAGGAAATCTAGAATGAAGAGTATGTTGAAATTCAATGGACCACTTCTAAGTCTCCCCATCCTGGAAAAAAAAAATCCGAACAAGACCCTATCAATTCAATTCAATAAACATTCATTAAGTGTTTACTACATGCCAGGAACTGCTCTAAGTGCTGAAGACACAAATAAGAAAAAGAAAGACTGTTCCTGCTCTCAAGGATCTTACAATCTAATGGGAGAAGACAACACATAAAAGGAAGCTGGAAGGGGCAGGGAGACACTAGGGGGTACCTGGTGTCCCCAGGGTCTTTCCTTTCTTGCCCATGATTTCATAATCATCAGCAGATTCCTTTGGCCACCTAAAGATCTAGTGTTCTTTATTCTCCTCTGGCTTTCTTAAAAAGAAAAAAAAATACTGAAAGTAGAACCCTGTCCAGCCTCTTGCACTCCTGTCTTCCAAAAGCCACTGGATTGCTTCAGTTCTTTAGCACCATCACTTCGGTAAAACTCTCATCCCATTCAGTTGTCATCTCTTTGACCTCTGAATTTTCCTGAATTATCCACCCTCTCATTTAGTATTTCTATCAGTCATTTCTGCCTGTCCTGTTCAGACCCACAGAACTCCCTGACCTCAGTACTTTACCCAATATTTTTCAGTGGCTCAACAGAGAGCCCACTTTAGTCCTAGCTAGTATGCTCATTCCAGTTCTTCAAGGGTTAAAGCCAATCTTCCTCTCCCTCTCCCACTCAGATGGAGCTGGTGTAGCCACAAACCTGCCCTGGAGATGGGTTGACACATACAAGTCTCCTGAGATTAGCCATTGATTATTAGAGATACAAGTTTATGCCAAAAGAAGAAGTGAGTCTGCAGTGCTGTGTCACTTCCACTTGCACAGAGATATGCGTCTGAGTCCCCCAAACCTGGGGACGTGATGGTAAGGTAACAGAGAGAAATATCGGGTCAACTGCCATGGAAGTTATCAGGAGTGCTATTTCTCCATGTTTCATACTTGTTGTAAGAGTAGAAGATTAACTTTGGTTCTTGCCCCATTTCCTGTTGGTACCAATACATATTGTCTTCTTCCTGATCCTGCTCACATCTCAGTACCACAGGCTGCCTGGCCACTGTAACCAGATACTTGGGGGTTTGGGTAATTTTCTCATCTGTGAAATCTGTGATGGAAAGAGACAGAAGTTAGGTGATTAACAGTAAACCATGAAGAAAAGCTTTCAAACTGGGTCCTAGAGGTCAGAGATTTTCTCTCACTGGCCCAGACTCACCCACTCTGAGGAGACAAACAACCGCACAGCAGAAAAGACTGCAGCCCATGGTGGGATCAGAGCTGCAATTGGGGCATTCCTGTGTGGAATGTGGTTGGTCATGAGGCATTTCATGTGTGAAGGCTGGGGCACTGGGAATCTCTTGTCTGTATTGGGTGGTATCTACCTGTGATGTCACTGGTGTCTTAGTCTACCCTCCTCCAACCCCAACCACCTAAGTAATACTTGGGAATTTACTAGCTGTCACTCCTTTTTTTGTGTCGTTTTCTTCATTGCCTTTTATAGAGCAGCATGGAGCGAAACTGGTCTCCATAGTACGTAATTGATTGCTGACTGACTGGTTAATCAATCAATAAAATTAAGTGTCTATCATCTGCCAGACATTGTAATAATCACTGGGGATACAAAAAGAGGCAAAAGACAATCCTTGTCCTCAAGGAGCTCACAATCGAAAAAGAGAGATAACAAGCACACAGATATAGAAACAAGCTATATACTAGATGAATAGGAAATGATTAAGAGAGGGAAGTCACTATAACCAAAAGAGATTGGGAAAATCTTCCTGTAGAAAGTGAGATTTTAGTTGAGTATTAAAGGAATCCAAATTTGAACTAAGTTGTGTGAGAAGAGTCCCATTCCTGAATATTTAATGAGGTTACTCTATCTGCCTGCATCATCGAACACATATATGCAGGCATGGTTCGATATGACCCTTCCATTTTATCTTCCCGCCATCCTTGTTCAGCTTTCCTACTTGAGATTTACAAAATTTCCTGAACTAAATGTGTTATCTGATACTGTTTACTAGCTCATTATAGATACCATTTTAGGCCAATCAGACCTTCCCTTACCATCTCCCCACTCACTTTACGTAGATTCCATGGACATCCTTGTCATCCATGACTGAAGTTGAAGGCTTCTTGCAGGGACAAGTTGACAGAATTACACTCCAGAACCAGATACACATCTGTTTCTTCACTACCCAAAGCTCATCTCTTTGCTCTTTCTCAGAATCCTCTGGACTCCAAAGGCAAACAGGACTCAACTCTATCTGTACTAGTTTTATCATGACCTAGCTCCTCCTCTTTCCCACTACTTACTGTATCTCCCACAAAGAGTCATTAGCTGTCCTCTGCCAGCTTCCTTTAGTAGTAGGTGCTTGTCCTTTGTATTGCTTATATTTATTTCCCTCATACCTGAGTTCCTAAAATATGATTAAGTCTTTACTGCTAGATGCTTTTTTTTAAAATTCTTTCCCCACCCATACCTAATACCCCTGTCCCACTTCACACTATCTCCCCTGGGAGACACACCCAGTCCCTTCTGCATTTTCAGTGGAACCGCAGAGCCTCCTAGTGGCCAGTGGGGTAAAGTCACCTAGTGTTTGTTTCTTGCTCTGTTCTGGCTTTGTCTCCAGGGACAGAACACCTTTTGGCAGTACTTTGACTTGCCTGGATGCTTTTGTGCCAGTCTCTCCTCCCTGGCCATCTGAGCTAAGCCTCAGAATGCCTTATTAGTTTTGTTGAACTCTCCCATCACTACTCACATACCCCTTCTTCCCCCCACAGTCACCTCTGGCTCAGCTGCTCATCTTCTAGCCTCCTTCAAACCAAAAATCTGCCCCTCCCCAACATACTCCTTTTATGAGTTCACACCTTCTCTTCCTTTTTTAATTTTCTTCCCCTTCCATGAATGATAACTGGCACATCTTGACCTCTCAGTAGTCAGTAAAGTGAGAAACTGTCACTAAATTATTCCCCAAGTCAGTTGTGTAGGGTGAGACTCTCACAGACAGCTGAACGCAGCCCAGCCTCCCAGGCCAGCAGGGTGATTGTCCTGAAGAGGGCAAAGAGGGCAGCTTCTTACAAATTTCTAAGTAAGCTACACCTCCCCCTACTCCCACCCATCCTGTACAAACAGTTTGAATGAAAGGGAGTAAAATCAAATTTGCAAGCACAGAGCAAAAACAATTGAGAGGCAAGGGCCTCTCAACTCTGAGCAATAAGGGGCAAGTAGAATAATTTGGGTTCCAAGTCTATGGCAGGACTATCCCAAGTAAGTGGTCATTATGTCCTTCGCTTTCATTGTGTTTCCCCTGATCATTGGGTTTGGCAATACAGACAAAAAGCGCTGAGTCCGGTGTTTCAGAAGGAAGAGTGGAGAAGCAGGGAAATTTAGGAAGTAACATGTGGAAGATAGATAGGTAGCTAGATAGACACATAGATAGATATATAGATAGATATTATATATACATGGTGTATGTGTGTATATATATGTGTATACATATATATATATACATACTCATATACATATATATGTGCATTCACTGTGAAAAGAATGCATTATTGTATCATTTGGAAAAATTATTATTCCATTTAAATCTAACCTTATGTGAGTGTACCCCCAAAGTCACCTCACCTTGGTAACTGTATATGAATGCCAGAGATGGCTACAAGGAATTTCTTCCAGGTCCTGGATCCACCCAAAGAATCCTTGTTTTGGGTTCACTTCATGTGATGTATATGTAATACCCTTGTCAGATGGTTCATATGGGGGTCAACCTGATGTTGGGGGAAGGAGAAAGCCACCCCTTATTTCTGGCTTTTTCTCTCTACCAATGACTTAATAAATTTCTTTCTAAAATTATTTCAGGTTTGGGGGCTTGTTCTGCAGAACAACATTACATGTATACATATACACATACACATATGTCAACTGGTATGAACTGGAATTTCACAGTTTCAGTTACAATTATCTTTTTGTGTTCTGTTGTGCACACAGAAAATTTATAATTTTTTTATGTTTAAGTTCAGAGCAAAAAAATTTAATTTTTTAGAAGAAAAAAAATTGGATTGGGAATAAAAATCTGGGTTCTAACCTTGGCATTGCCATTAAGTGGCAGTGACATTTTGAGCAAGCCACTTTCCCCCTTTAGCCTACAAGTTCCCTCATCTGTGAGACATGATTCATCTAAAATTATTCCCTCTGGTATTGCCAGTTATTTCTGAATTGGCAAACCTAATGGCCTTTTCTCAATTCTCATCCTCCTTAACCTCTCTGCGACCTTTGACACTATCAGTCACCTTTGTCTCCAAAATATTCTTTTATCTATAGGATTTTAAGACATTGTTCTCTCTTTTTCTTCTGCTGCCTGTCTGACTGATCTAGCACAGTCTCTTAGTATAGGTTGTTTCCAATAACTAACTGTAGGTGCCCTCTTTTCTTCTCCCTCTATGCTACTTGATTGGCATCTCATCAGTTCCCTTCAGCTCAATTATCTCCTCTATGGAGACAATGCCCAGATACCTGTATCTGGCCCTGGTCTCTCTCCTGAGCTCCAATCTCATACCAACTGCCTTTTGTATTTCTCAAATTGTATGGTCTATAGGTATATCAAACACCATGTCAAAAACACAATTATCTTTATTTTAAAACTTCCTTCTCTTCTGAACTTCCCTCTTATTGTCAAGGGCATCATGATCATCATCATCATCTAAGATTACCTTCCAATCATATTATAGCTGATAGATGAATAAGAAACAGATGATAGATAGCTAGGTTCCTAGATTGACAGACAGACGGATACAGATGGGTAGACATGCAAGATAGATTTAGATAGATAAGTTGACAAGATAGATATAGATGGATAGATAGATAGACAAACAGACATATAGATATACAGGGATACAGAGACAAAAAGACAGAGAGAGAGGGACAGAGGGAGAGAGAAAAAGAGGGGGGAGAGAGAGAGAGAGAGAGAGAGAGAGAGAGAGAGAGAGAGAGAGAGAGAGAGAAGGAGACAGAGACAGAGAGACAGAGAGAGAAACTTCGTATGCAGTTAATTGCACTTATCTCCCATTTAGAATGGGAACTACTTTAGGGCAGAGACTCTGTTTTTGCATTTGTATCTGCAGTATTTCTCGCTATGCCTGGTACATAGCAGCAGTTTAATAAAAGCTTAATGATTGACTAAGTTGAATTAGATGATCACTTCCTAGCTCTAAACTTCCATGATGCTAGGTTGTCATAATTTTTAGGACAAAGCTGGCACATTGAGGACAGTAAAATACATAGTAATCATGTACACACAGTCACTTACCTTAAAGCTACTTATTAGAATTTAGCTTAAAAATAATTCTCCTACTTGATATTGTTCATTAAATGCTACACTGGTCTTGCAGAAGTTAATGGGGGTGGAACAAGAAGATCAAAGAGCAGTGGTGCAAAATGTCTCCAGTGTTCTAGGCATGCCTGTAACTGTGCTTCAAGCGTCAGACTTCCTTCTTAACACCATCTTTCCCAAAGTCCCTTCAGAGAACTCTGAATTTCAAAAGAAGTACAGCTCCTTCTAGTGGCCAATAGGGTAAATTTGTCCTCCAGTCTTCCAATCTTTCGCAAAGCAAAGCTGAACATTAAAGGAACCAGCTAGTTAAGGCCAGGGACATATGAAGCACCAGCTAAAGGAACCAACAGGAATGGACAGAATTGACTGTCATCTATTGTAATGAAGGGTGCAAGCTTACATTTTACTTTCTATATGTGAATTCATTCCTTAACTCATTCCACAAACATTTATAAGAAGCCCATAGTCAAAGTGTTTTTCTAGATGATGAAGAAAATAAAAGGAATGAGTTATCTACTATATGGAAGAAGCTTAACGTCTGGTTGGGGAGATAAGACATGTACACAAATAAGTCAGAATAGAAATATTGAGTGCTATAATGCATCTGAGTAGCATAGCACTCTGGTATAGGAAGAAAAAAAGCTTGACTCAGAGTCAGGAAGGCTGGGTCCTGTTTCTGATATACATACATAAATGTATATATACATATATACACACTTTTACATATGGGTGTATATGTATATGTATGTGTGTGTGTGTATGCATGTTTCTGTATAATGAACAATGCTGTCATGCTTTCCCTGTCACTGCTGGAGGGAAACAAGGCTGTGTGTTTGCTCCCAGGCTTTTTAGCATAATGTTCCCAGCAATGTTGTCAGATGTCTTCAATGAGAACAAACTTGGCAACAAGGTCAGGTACCACACTGACGGTAAATTATTTAACTTCAAAAGGCTACAAGCCAGGA